TGTGTAAATTATTTTTGCACAAATATTATCTACTGTTTGTAAAATACCATTAAGGAATGACTGCTGGCAACAGCTAGCACTGGGGAGCCAAATCAGTTCTTCGGTTATACCAATGATGTCCTGGTGGCTGACAGAATATTTATTGCCAGAGGTAACTGTTAATAGATTGCCTTTTGCCCCTTCAATTGCTGCAAGCTTGTGATGGAGAGTGGGCGGAGAGGACAACCTGTAATTCAGGATGGCTTGGAAGCTGGTTGCCTAGGAAACCGGGATGAGGAGCATAATTCCCACCGAAACCAACTGTCAACAAGACAGTGGATTTTCTTTTTTTGATCGGTTGTTTTCCAAATACATATCCTGTGCTGAGTGTGGAACCTGATGAGGGTTGCTAGTCTTTGGTGGGCAGTTCACGCCAAAGCAGACCAAAGGCTAATCAGGGAAATTTTCCATAAACATTTTACTGACAAGACAGTAGGGAGGGGGATGATGGTGTGTTTAAATGAGTTTGTAAGAAAATAAGGTGATCAAAAACATGAAAATTTTCCATAGCATATCATGCAGGCAATTCTTGATCACAAATAATTGCATCTAAATATATTTAACATCTAAATATATACAGCAGCAAAACATACTAGCATAAGAATTGTATTTGCTGCAACCCACTGTTCCCTGCTCTTAAGTTACTCACAACAGTACTCTGGTCTACAGTAATCATCTTTAAGAATAGCACACAGAGGAGGCCAGCAGATGGAGCAGTGCTTATGTCGCTGAACTCCTGCATGGTCGATTATGGTTTGAGTCCTAGACCTGGTGTCTTAAAACACACCTGTATGCCCAAGGTCCTGGGAGGAGAATGGAAGAGAAGGTATTGTAGTATGGCCATCCCCATGGGGGGGTCATTTCTCACTTTCTCTCTCACTGTCTCTGTCTTTCTCTCTCTGGTGAGTGCTCATGGCCTAAGGGAAAAATCTTAAAAAAAAAAAAAAAAAGAATAGCATATAGAAATGTACGGACTTTTGAAGAAAATGGTCTCTAATTTCCCAACACTCAAAAATATGCATATTAATTTAAAATGTAAAATATATCATACATGCACATGTATATATTTCATAGGCATGTGTATGTGTGTATATATGTGTATATATATATATTTAAGTTGAGCCATACGAAATTACTGATATTAGACCAAATAGGAACTGTTTAAAATAGCAATTTTATGTAGTTCAACTTATAGGTAAACAGAAGAGATCATAGAATTTTTTTTTTTTGTACCATATCTTCTTGTCCATTTTTGTTTAGGTTTCCCATTCCCTCATTTATCCATCTTGACTTTACCCTATTGACCCTCTCTTACCAACTCTCCCCTTCCCCCACAAGCAATCCACGTTAAGAATTCACCATAAAGGATGTATAATCCTTTATAATTGAGGTTAGCAGAACTGTAGCTACTTTGAAATCAAGAAAGGCCTCGAATGAGGCCCAGTACTGAATCACAGAGAGATCTATTTGAAGGATGGTCAGATGAGAAACCACACATGGGTATTTGAAGTAAAACAGGAATCGGAATCTTTACTTACGGGAAAGTGGTTGAATTTGATTGATTAGGGTGAGAAATGATTTTCATGTGCTTGTATTTTGTACCTATAAATACAGAGAACAAGTTGTGCTTTTCTTTTCTTTTCTTTTCTTTTCTTTTCTTTTCTTTTCTTTTCTTTTTTTTTTTTTTTTTTGGTTTGGTTGCTCTAGAGCACATGTGCTCACCAGAAAGACAGAGAGAGACAGAGACACAGAAAGCGAGAAATCGCCCTCCAGCGGGAATGGCCATGCCGCAATCCCTTCTCCTCCATTCTCCTCTCGGGATCCTGGGCATGCACACACACGCGCCGGGCGTGATTTCCAGCCACTGGGTCCGGCACTCGAGCCGTGGTTGACTATGTGGGAGTTCAGCAATATAGCCATTACTCTTACTGCTGGTCCCAAGTTGTGCTTTTCAAGGCAATTTTCTGGTGCTTATTGCCTGGCTCTCTGTAGTTGCAGAACTAAGTTCCTTCTTCTTTAGCCTCTGACTCTTGTTTCATTGACCCGGTGAAGCTGCTGGATTTAGTTTTCCAGTAACAATAGAATCACAAGCAGATACAAATGTATCTGTGCATCCATATTTGTACTAGTGACAGTTTGTGGTATGAGGTCTCAACCTTTCAGGTGGCTTTTTGCCTGCTAATATCTTTTTTTTTTCTTTTTTGAGACGTTTATGCTATAGGATGTGTGTGCTTGCTGGAGAGACAGAAACAGACAAAAAGTGAGAAATCACCTCCCAGGAGGGATGGCCTTGTCACAATCCCTTCTCCTCCAGTCTCCACTTGGGATTTTGTCATGCATGCACATGCACTTGGCATGAGTTTTAAGCCACCAGGTTCAGGACTCGAACCACGGTTGACTATGTAGGAGTCCAACAACGTAACCATTACACCATCTGCTGGTCTCGCTTGCTAATATCTTAGGCCAAAATTTTTTTCCTGCATTTGAAGATTGCTTATCTTCTTGGCATTTATCCTTAATGGATTTTAGCCTGATTTTAAGTAGTTTCCTCATTTCTGTTGTTACCTCACTTGCATCTTATTTCTCACGGATGTTCTAGAAACTACTCACAAATGATTCAATCTGTAAAGTCATGTCTCACAGAGAGATTGGTAATTCTTTTATGATTTCCTATGTTTGCCTTCACAGAATAACCTATTATTTTGCAAAGTTAAGAGTAAGGCTATCTAAAGTTAAGTACTTTGGGTTTTATTCTGTTAATACAAGACCCAGAATTTTATTTCTTCTCCTGGAAGGAAAAATGGGCACCTTATAGCCATTTCTCCAGTTCTAACTGTTGGAGCAAAGTTACTGATCAGTTAGGCAGTGGGGTCATATAAGAGCTTAGAATTTATTTTATACATGAATGTGTTTGAAGTCTTAAGATTAAGAAGAAGTATAGCTCCACCGCAGAAGTGACAGGAAACCTAACATTCTCACTGTCTGGGGCTGGCAGGTGGCATGGTGGTTAAGGACGCTGGGCTCCCACATGGTCGACTATGGTTTGAGTCCCAGACCTGGCAGCTTGCTTTCTCACTTTCTCTCTGCACTGCCCCCCACTCCCACCCCCATCCTTTTTCCTCTCTGGTAAAATTCAAATAAATAAACAAAACAATTCTTTAAAAGAGAAAAACATTCTCACTGTCGGTCAAAGGAGACTTCTGCCCTTACTGCTTACTGCAGTTGCCACTCAACACAATTCTCCTTGTAGGGGACAATTTGTAGCTCTTTAGGCCGCTGTGGGAAATCTCTGATCAACAAGATGAGCAGATCTTCATGATTCTAGGCCCACTGGGTTGTTCAGGGACTAATGTACTGAGTTTCCTCACTAGAAAGTAAACCTTGACAGAGGGAGAAGGCAATAAGGACTCAGTGGCCCGGGGTTTACTCACCCCCCCTATTTGGCACCCGCTCACTGGTGCATGCATCTCTCTGTGCAAGTCTCAGATACTTTTTGGTGCCCACACAAATGCATGCTGCTTGATCAGGCTCTCTCAGTTGGGCTATAGCCCCTACTCTTGTTTGGAAAGCAAAGTGCTTTGTAATGAAGTATAACGTCAACTACTAGGAGTTTGGGAGTTGAAGGTCTCTTGGGAGCAACTCAGAAGGTTCTACTAGTACACGCTGGGATTAGTATACTTCATAATTTTCTTGTGAAAATCTTTTCTCTGTAGAGAGTCCCCTGGCCAAGGAGAACACAGTTCACTGGTTTGAGTCCCAGACCTGGCAGCTTGCTTTCTCACTTTCTCTCTGCACTGCCCCCCACTCCCACCCCCCATCCTTTTTCCTCTCTGGTAAAATTCAAATAAATAAACAAAACAATTCTTTAAAAGAGAAAAACATTCTCACTGTCGGTCAAAGGAGACTTCTGCCCTTACTGCTTACTGCAGTTGCCACTCAACACAATTCTCCTTGTAGGGGACAATTTGTAGCTCTTTAGGCCGCTGTGGGAAATCTCTGATCAACAAGATGAGCAGATCTTCATGATTCTAGGCCCACTGGGTTGTTCAGGGACTAATGTACTGAGTTTCCTCACTAGAAAGTGAACCTTGACAGAGGGAGAAGGCAATAAGGACTCAGTGGCCCGGGGTTTACTCACCCCCCCTATTTGGCACCCGCTCACTGGTGCATGCATCTCTCTGTGCAAGTCTCAGATACTTTTTGGTGCCCACACAAATGCATGCTGCTTGATCAGGCTCTCTCAGTTGGGCTATAGCCCCTACTCTTGTTTGGAAAGCAAAGTGCTTTGTAATGAAGTATAACGTCAACTACTAGGAGTTTGGGAGTTGAAGGTCTCTTGGGAGCAACTCAGAAGGTTCTACTAGTACACGCTGGGATTAGTATACTTCATAATTTTCTTGTGAAAATCTTTTCTCTGTAGAGAGTCCCCTGGCCAAGGAGAACACAGTTCACTCTGGTTCTTGAAGAATTGAGAGCTGTTATTTACTTGGAAGCTGAGTCTACCTTTCCATTGTCTGTCAGAAAAATTTCAAAGCTGGGGAACCAGCAGTTAGCGTAATGGCTATGTCGCTGGACGCCCACGTAGTCGACCGCAGTTCGTGTCCCGGACCCGGTGGCTTAAAACTCACGCCGGGCGCGTGTGCCTGCGTGCCCAAGATCCCGAGAGGAGAAAGGAGGAGAAGGGATTGCGGCGTGATCATCCCCCCTGGGGGGTGATTTCTTGCTTTCTGTCTCTATGTCTCTCTCTGTCTGTCTGGCGAGCGCACGCGCCCTACAGTGAAAATCTCTCAAAAAAAAAAATATAAAAAAAAAAAAATTTCAAAGCTGCTGCACCAGGAACTGTCTCAGTTCACAAACCTCAGGAACTAATGACCCTTGTCCACCCCCTCAGTACTGAAATCCCCAAATGGTCCTCAGGGAGGTGAAGTAAATCCTGACAGCTGCTTAGAGGTCATCTTAGAATGAAATCCCAGAAGGAATGGTTTTAGAGAAGCATGGGGGGAAAAAACGAGGAGGAAAAAATGAAGTTAGTATACATAAGAGAAGCTATTTGCAGCTTACCCAGGTGTGCTCTGAAAGTCAAACCCCTACATCAGCAATTAGCTAGAAACCTTAAGCTCCTCTATCTCTTAGCACGATCAAATCAGAGAGCATGGGAAACACACACACACACACACACACACACACACACACTTCATGGGGTCCTACCTGCAAGTCTTAGAAAAACAGTTTCCATGGGTGGAAGAATGAGACCAGGTAACATACTAAGGAGGCTGTGATTTTAGCAGACTTCCCAAGAACACTGATGTAGGAGGTTCATTATTTTAATTCCTCGGAGGTATTTCTTTTGTTTTTTTCTTTGGAAAGTGTGTAAATAATTGCAGGACTGCTCTGTTTCCAAAACTGGACAGTGAGTTAAACAACAACTACAACGACAACAGGTCTTATCCTGGCCACCATGGAATTTCTTGAAAGAACTTACCTCGTGAACGACAAAGCCACCAAGATGTATGCCTTCTCACTAGACAGGTAACAGATACCCATGTCTGATACACAATTTTCTGTGTCTTGAATATTCAACAGATTCCCTACATCCTATTCCTTCAGAATGGTAAACTTTTGCTTTGTAATCTGGGGGTATTTTGTAACATTTTGTGAGTCATGGACTGACTTGTGTAATTCATATCTTAGAAAACGTAATACTTTGTATAGGTCGATTTGATCATTTAAATATTCTAAGTGATGAATATTTATCTTAATGAATATTTCATCTGCATTTTTTTCTCCTCAAAAAGACACATTACCAATCTAATATGTTTACTTTTCTTTACCTTGATTATTCCCATTTTAAGGTAGATAGTGAGTTTTTAAAAATGTTTCGAAAAAAACTAAGACTTTTCAATTACATAGCAAAACTGTGATTATATTAATCTTCAAATTAATTGCTATCTTCTTAATCAAAAAATACCATTATCAATATATACACATATAATAAATATGATTGATTATATTGCTTACATAGTTCTAGTTCCACAGTGCCAGGTACAATATATTCATTTATTTTTCACTTGTTTGTAACAATTATTGACTGAACACATCTGTGCTAAGTGCTGGACATATAATGGAAGGAAATTTCTAGCCCCAGAACTAGCCCCTTGAAACTTGTACCTAAGGTGAAATGTGTATAAAAATGGGAAATTTCAAACTAGCATATTCGTGTTATGCTGGGCTCTTTAAAAAAATACATAAAGAAAATCTCAGCTTTATCTAGACTTCGGGGTCAGATAAAGCTTTTGCAGAAGTGACAGGGTACAAACTGAAAAATAAAAGGGAAGTCAATAGGGTTAAGGAAACCCTACATAGATAGTAGGCTTAGGTAAGTTTTCCAGACTGGAATAATTAATTGCATGGTAAAGACAGAGACATGTAAAAATGGTAGTGCAGTGTGTTTGGCAAGTTCAGTTCTAGGGAGAGCAAAGAGAAATATACTTAGTGTGTGTATATATATTTATATGAATACAAATCTTAAATTAACTCACATTAGAAACTGAATTTAAGAGAATACTTACTAACATTATGTGTAATGTTTTTGTTTCATGGAATCTAATTTTCTGAAGAAGTAATATCATGCTTGATGGAATCAAATATTTTAGGAACTATCAAATAACTGTTTTTCCACCAACATTTTTTATAGCTTTTATGGTTTTTCATAGTATGCAAGCAGTAGGTGACAATCAAATCAAGTATATTACAAAATATCTTTTACAATGATATTTATAACTTTGACTCAAATGTTTGATAGTCTGGCACATCTATTATCTCATATTGGAAGAATTATTTTTCTTAGAGAAGAATTGTAGATGTAATTCATTGATGTCATAAATATAAAAAAATAGCTTCATGTTAGGTCAGACAGGAATTTTGTAAAACAAAATGTTACTACTCTGAGCACTATAAATGGAACATCTCTATATTAGTAAAATGTCAGTACTCCTCTTTTCATGAAAATACACTGTTAGCACCTTATTGAACAAATAGGCTGGCCATTTATAATCATAAGGTCTTATTCAGTTCACTAATAACTACGGTTTTCATGACACAGAGCTTATAAAAACTGTCAAACTTATTTTTATTTTTTGTCAGATAAAAAGATTAAATCTGAAAGAGATCATGTATCCTGGTCTCTTTTTTATCAGGTAAGAAAATGAATGCCCTTTCTTTCTCTTCAATGGTGGAGTAAATTTCTTTGGCCTATTATTTCTACTCTTCAAAGCTTTGACCATATTTGAGTGGATGGGATACTACCAGGATTTATTCATTAATAGCACATCCACATTTTTTGATGCATCATAGCATTTGCTTTTTATAACCTTCTTCTTAAAATAATACTTTTTAGAATTCACATCATTTTTCACATCAAGAGCCTGTACTGCATCTAGAGATACTTAGATCACTTTGCTCTAATGAGATGATGAGGAATGTATTTTAACTTGGTTTTAAACTTCTTTTGGAATAAGTTAAAAAGATCTTTGGGGAATTTAGGGAAAATGCAAAATTCTGCCTCCTCTTGAGTACTATTAATATCATTGGTATAAACATTCCAAAACAAAATTGGTAAAATACATAAAAATACTTAGAAATTTAAGTACTTTTTGACCAAATAATTAGCCCTTTAGGGATACATTTTAAGGAGATAACAGTATATTGAGCAAAGATCAAATATAATGATATGCATTGCTTATACGAACAAATAATTGGAAAAGAATGAATTGTTCAGTAATAGGAAATCAGTTAAGTATACCAGACATATCTACATTGAGTATATTTTTTTCTACATGTTAAAAATAATGACATAACCATAAAGAAAATTGAGACCCTGGCACTTGATACAAAGTGAACAAATATGGAACATTTAATGTTAAGTGAAGAAAGCCAGACTATAAAAGAGAGGCATTGTATGTCCCTGCTTAATACATACAGAATGTCTGTGCTCTGTAGCAGAAACAAAGATTGGAAGGTAAATTGCAGGGAGGACAACTGAAGATACTAGAGATAGTATAGGAGGGGGTGGAAAATGGGAGTTGGGGGAGGGAAATCATGATAAAAAATTTAACAGGTATGTGAATCAGAAGTCTTGATAATTATATGGTAATATCTGTAACTTAACCAATATGCACAGTTTTCATGCTGGGGAAAACCATTTTTTATGATCTAATGATGCACAGTGACTAAATATAAATTAAAAAATAATATTGACATAGAAGATTTCATAAATTGAGAAAATATTAACAGTATATGTAACTAAAAATCAGGTCTAGAGGCTGTGCTTTTGATAGTATCCTGTCTGACACCATCTTCTTCACTTTCATTTCAGTCCTTCTCTACTGAGTTGCAGTGATGTTATTGGAATAGAATTTACCTTATTCTCACCTTTAGGAGTCAGCACAGTTGGGTTTAGCTGATCTTCCAAGTATAACAAGGCCTAAGCCAATCAATTCATTCATGGACCTCTGACTATGACTGTTGGTTATCATTTGGTTATATCAGTATGCCCCTCAAGACTCTGGTTTAGCCACTGTAAAAGGAGATAATCTCTCTCCCTGTATATGAAAAAGCACGTACATAGGATGATTACCTTTGTCATTCATCCCACTACCATGAGGAAAATCAGAGACTGAAACATAGTTGAGAACTACAGAGAAATGGATCTGGAGCATTGATCAAACAGTTCCTAATGATTGATACCTCTAGGTGTTTTCAGTTACAGAATCAATAATTGTCATTTATTCTAGCAACTGTACTTACAGCTCAAAGCATCCTATTATGTACCTTAATTGTGTGAAAAAGATGTGTATTTGTTTATTAAAAAGCTATCAACAAAATATCAATAAATATTTTTTAGAGATAAGATTACCAATGATTTTTTTCCTCTTCTTTCTGCTTTCTGTAATTCCAGATTTTCTTTAATGTGTGTGTGTGTGTATACACACATTATAAATATGTATATAATTCATAAAAACCCACATATAATAATAATTAGAGTCATCATCTAAGGCAAACCAACTGACTTTTAATTTCAGACGGTGCTAAGTCAAATGAAATAACTCTTCAAGTGGAAGTTAATTTATTGCTTTTAAAAACTATCTTCCAAAACCAGAAATGTAAAGTTTTAATTCTAGCAATCTCATTAAAACTCAGATGAGCTTATTAAAAAGTTTTAAATCTGATTAGTTCTAGATCTGTGGACATTGACATTTGCATGGGTAAAAATTGGTTTGGGGAGTTCTGCTATCGGTAAGGGAGGCCGTGTGTGATAGGTATAAAAGGTACTAGGCTTGGAATCTCTGCTAAGGTGTTCCCTGGTTATTTCATTTCAGGCAATTATTTGACCTCTTTAAACCTTCCTTACTTCCACTAAGAAAACTATGGTGATTGGACTAAATGTTACTTACAGTCTTTCATCTATGAAATTCTATGATTCTGTGAATGGCTCTAAATCATGCTCTGTGTTTGAGCAGAGCTGACGTCTATTGCCTGCTTGGGGAAGTATAAGTAGGTGTCTGACATAACGTTGACTGATTGAGAGAAACTGTCTCTTCAACGGTGAAAAGGTTTTGGAAGGTTTCCTGAACTCATCAGGGAAAAGCGCTGTGATGTGTACTTGAATACTCACTCGGGCTCAATACACATATCTTATAGTGTCCTCTGATGTATTTTACTGTCATTATTATTTGTTACGCAGATCCAAACATTTTTAAAGAGAAATAACTAGGAAGGAATGGCATTAAAGTGCATCTGCTTCTTTTCTCTTACTTCTTGGACATTTCTTAGTCTTTGCTAGTATTGACTAAGTAAAAGTTCAACATTTAGTAGTTGTGACTTCTGAAGGAAATGTCGTGCTTGTTCCTTACACTGGGTATTTCTTCTAGGAGGAGCTGTGAATTACAACGTCCCAGCTAGTGAGCAAAAGTCCTAATAGAAGTTCTGAGAATAGGGAGGGCTGTCAGCACGGTGTTTGTCTGCAACCATGTTCACTTCTCGCTTCTGTCAAACTCATCCATAGCGTGGAACTCCAACAGAAGCCTGTGACTAAAGATCAATGTCCTGGAGAGAGGCCAGAGGAGCTGGAGTCAGGAGGCATCTATCACTGCCACAGCAATTCCAAGGCTGCTGGGAACGAGGCAAATGAGCAAGTTCACGCCAAGTGGAAACTCTGTGCCGCTTCAGCAATATGCTTTGTTTTCATGATTGCAGAGGTGGTGGGTGAGTATTTCTCATGAAGACTTCTCCGATTGAACAAGCAAACAACATTGTACCATTATGGGGAAGTTATGGAAGGCCTTCTTTTAATGGAAGATTTAATATTTTCTGCGGGTACCAATATGCTCACTGTAGATAAGTTGGAAAATAGAAGAAAAGAAAAAGTCATCACTATTGCATAGTCAAGTGATAACTCCATAGCATTATTACGTATTTTTGTACAACGTATTTTCTATTCATAGCTCACAGTTGGTTTTTGTTTGTTTATTTCTCTGTTGAAAGCAGACTGAATGCTTTTGACCACACTATCCAATATTCTTCAAACACATTTTTATGCCTGAACAATATTACATAATACATTGCATTGTAATTTACATAACCATTCTCTATTGTCAGAAAATTAGGGAGTTTTTCCTTTCTTATGAGCAATGCTACAATGGTAACTCTTGAATAAAAAACCCTTTGCTTTTCCGGTTAATTCCTTCAAAGAGATACCTATATATGAAATAACTGGCTGAAGGACATGAATATTTTTATTACTTATTGGTTCATATTGTCAAAGGGTTGTCCAGAGAGTTTGAAACAATTCATATATTGACCAGCTCTATATGAGGATGGTTCTTTCCAAGTCTTTACCAGAACTTATTCTAATTTTTTTTTGACAAATTTATTGGTTTTTTAGTATAGGCACTCATCACGGTCATTTTTCTCTCCCACCTTGACCTTTAGTTAATATTTAATTTGGGTCTAGAAATATTGGAGGACATAAAAGCAGTGAAAAAACTTAAGGAGAATAAGACAGTATGGAATGAGGGGGGTGAAGAGAAGAGGATAGAGAAAAATATCAAGAGAACAAATAGAGAGGCATGACATTAGTGGGACACAGATATGGCTTATTACCTGTTGATGATGACATGTATAGTATTCTCAACTGGATTGATCTGAGAATTATTTCATGATGGGTAAAGTCTTTTTACAAGCAAAATGAGAAATAGCGATTGGTTAAAAAATAATTGGAATAATAATAATAATGAACGGGAAAAACAATGAAAAGATATTGAATGATGAAGTGGGGATTTTAATGTCTCAGTATTGACTGACATGCATGACATTCCCTTTTGAAAAAGCAATGTAATACCTTGTAAAGTTATATGCAATTCAATGTAATATAAACAAGATTATGATGATATTAAAAAAAAGAATGAAATGAGAAAAAGAAGGTAACTGTTCCTTTTAAATTTATACCCATCCCACACCCCAATTTCAAAACACATTATTTAATTGCCTTGGTCATGGACATTGATATTTCACTCCCATAGCTTCGGGTTATCAGAAAACCCAGGGTTTTCCTTTATTGATGGAGTTTGGTCCAGTTGATGTTGGTGTATCCCTTCCTATATTCTTCATCCTCGTCTCTGCTTCTAGAGGCATTTCCTCTGGTTCACTCTCTTCATCTTCATTAAAAACCACTGCTGCTGAAAGGGTTTTTGAAGCAAGAGCTGAACTAGTTTCTTTAGGTTCCCTTGATCCAAGTGTGATGGCTACGGCTGTTGCTTTCTTTGCTGTCTGACTGCCTATAGCAAATCCAACCTTGGAGATCTTTGTAGGCTTTGTTGGGAGGTCTACAGCTTCTTCTTCAGCTGATGGCTTCTCAGCACTGAGACTGGAACTTTCACCTCCATTACTGGAAGAAGCAGTCTTAGTTTTCACAGGTTTTCCTGCTTCTTCTTCAGGTCCTCCGGCGGCTCCAGCTCGCTGAAGCTTGTCAGACTTCTTTCTCACCTTCCAGTCCACCATTTTCCCCACCCTGGCCTGTATTTTCATCTTTTAAAAACTTTTGTTAATGTATAGGTAAATGTTTTCTTAATATTTATTTTTTAATTATTATTGTTAGAATATTTTTACATAATGATTATGATGTGTTTTCCTTCTGTTTGTGCATTTTCTCTTTGCCTCTTAATGCCTGTTGCCTTTATTTTTTAAGAGAATCTTGTAATTCTCTATATTGATCTCTAGGAGCTCTTTACATAGTTAAGATGTTAAATCTTTGTTATTTCAGTTATAAGTGTTTTTCTAATTTTTTTGCCTTTTAATTATTATTTAACTTTCAGTTTCACTTAGAGAAGCTTTTAAAAAGGTAGCTATATGAAACGTTTCTTTTTTAGCAAGATTTCTTTTACTTTCTTAGTGTTTAGTAATGCTTCCCCATCTACTGAGAAGATTAATAGTTCTTTTGTTGTTGTTCACATTTTTCCATTTGATATTGAAACCAGTGTGAAATTAGATATATTGCATGCTCTAAGAACTGGAAAAACTTTTTGTAAATAGCTAGCCATGTTTCACATCATTGATTAAACAATTATCTTCCTCATTGATTTCCGGTGCTTCTTTTATAATTTACCAAATTTTTATAAATACGAGGTTGTTTCTGAAGTATTTCATTGATCCATATTCCTACTCTCTGTCACTAACATAATTAATGTGGATTTGTATTTTATAATATCTGTTTTTTTCTTCCTCATGATCCTTTATTTAACAGAAAAAAGATAATACCTATTCATCCTTGTTTATTATGCTCATTAAACATGAGTATTGTTTTGTTCAGTTCTTTCCCGAATCTAATTATGATTTTACTGGTATAGAAATTAATTTAAAAACACATAAATATCTTTAAAATATTCAGCTTTCTCTCTAGGAATGTGGTATGTTTCTTTGTTTATCCAAATGTTCTGTATTTCTCATCAAGGGTTTTTAGTGTTTTTTGTGTTACTATAGGGCAGCTTATTTCTTAGAAGAATTATTTCTGGTTATTTTATGTATTTGGCTTATTCTATCCAGTGGTAAGTGGTATTTCCTTTTCTGAAGTCCTGTTTTCTAAATGGTTACTTTTAGCATATTCTGAAAAGTTTTGACTTCTTTCCTTCATTGTATAGTCAGTAATGTATTTAAGTTACTGTCAATTCTACATTCATTTACAGGTATTTTCTTTTTCCCTCTTGTGTGCATCCTCCCCACTCCTCCTTTGTGACAGAAGTGCGTTTCTTCTCATTTTTAATAATTAAATCACCTCTGTAGATTTCTTATTTCTATAATGCTCAACAATATTTTATGCAGAAGGAAGTCTTATGTTTTACTATTTAACTATTAAGCAAAATGTTTCCTGAAGGATTAAGTATTTTAATTATGATAATAATGTATTCTGCTTGTCTTTGTTTTTAAGTGACTAATAAATAATCAAAGCTATGTATTAATTTTTATCAAACACCTGTACATTTTAATTTATTCTTAAAACTTTTTGACCCATTGTTGAGGTGTCCTGCATTAAGAGATTTTCTAATATGGTATCATCTTCACATTTCTGTTCTTATGATATAATTAATAGCTAATATTTATTTATTTAGCTTACTATGTTCTAAGAACTGTGATGAATGTTTCCACATATGACCTTACACAATTGTGATGAAATCCTTAGGAAGTAGGTCCTCTTAGAATCTCATTTTATAGACAAGACACTTGAAAGCCCTTTCTTCGTTCTCCGCACTTATCAATATCTTAGCCATCATTTAAGACTTGAATCCTGGGACCAGCAGTTAGCGTAATGGCTGTGTCACTGGACTCCCACGTAGTTGACTGCGGTTCAAGTCCCGGACCCGGTGGCTTAAACTCACGCTGGGCGCGTGTGCATGCATGCCCGATATCCCGAGAGGAGAGTGGAGGAGAAGGGATTGTGGCGTGGTCATACCCCCTGGGGGGTGATTTCTCACTTTCTGTCTCTCTATCTCTGTCTGGCGAGCGCACGTGCCCAATAGCAAAAAAAAAAAAAAAAAAAAAATCCCAAAAAAAAAAAAAAAACAGGATCTACAACTCACCTCCTCCCCAAGGCCATTTTTGACCACATCAGAGAAGGCAATTATGATTCTTGGATTACTTTTGGGGGTTTGGGAGGTCCTCCTGCATGATATGTGATTTGAGCAAAACCTTGCAGGAAGAGTAGAATTTGAGAGGTAGCCAAAAGGGAGACAAGAAGGGTATTTCAAATGATGGGGCCTAAATAAGCAACACACTTTTTATTGACTTTTCAGTTTCATTTCCCATTATCCTTTCAGCACATCACACCTCCTGCCTTTTCAGAAAGGTACTATGTTCTTTTATTTCTCTGTTTTTATCCCTGCTCTTATCTCATTGAGAAAAAACAAAACAAACAAACAAAAAATGACAACTTTTCTTCTTACTAATTCTTATGCCTGTCTTCTGGGAAAAGTTCTTCAATGCTCCCAGTGTGAGGAGCTCTCTGATTCCCTAGTCCATTAGCATATCTTCCCAACCGTGGACGTTTGACAAGGAGATCATTAAAGAGAGGGAGTATGATTTGTTTATCTTTGTATACCCTATTCCTGGCACTGTGCACAGTCAGAGCTCAATAAATACTGACTAGATGATTAAATTAATTGTCAATAATACTCCACACTTTCAGAAGCAAAAGCAAGTTCAGTCACAAAGAACCTCTTGCAAGCTGTTTGCCTTATAGGATTCAGCAATAATTGCCTGGAGTTTTCTGGATGGCCCTTCCAAGTAGCACTGATGGTTGCAGAATGGTCCTGAGTTTTCAGGCCTTCATTATAATGATTATTTTTTTTAAGTGTTTGCCAAAGGGCACATATGCTCACCAGAAAGAAGGACAGAGAGAGACCGAGAGAAGTGAGAAATCACTATCTTGGTGGATGGCCAGGCTGCAATCCCTTCTCCTCCATTCTACTAGGATTTGGGGCATACTTACACATGTGCCCAGCATGACTTTCAAGCTGCTGAGGCTGGGATTCAAACCACAGATGGCCATGTGGGAGTCCAACCCCTTAACTACTGTACCATCTGCTGGCCCCTTCAGGCCTTCATTATTAACAAGCTTCATCCAAAGCAAACCTTTCTTCTTTCTCAATTGCCCCCTGCCTCAGTTGAGCCTTTTGGAGAAACCCTAGTAAGACTTCACTTTGGTGACTTGTATTTCCATTTTGGCCCTGTACAAAGAATCCTCATCATTCCTTATTGAGGTTGCAGCATGCTGCTTATCTGCATGTAGGCATTCAGCAGCAAGAAATAATGCATTATTAACACAGCTTTATTATCAGGACAATGTTTGGCAGCTAGAGCGACATTAGAGGATAATTGGAAGGACAGCTGATTTGTTAGCAAAACGTTGCTTTTTGGCTAATGAATCATTCTGATTTTTGCACTGACAGTTCGGTAACAAGCTCAAAGACTACTTTGCTTCAGACCATTACACTTTGACAAACCAGTTATTAACTATAGCTGGAGCCAACAGTCTGTGGGGATTCTTGCAATAAGGAGCCATCTATGTAATTTTTTTTAATCATTAGGCAAGACAAGGTGAGTCTGATGATGGAGGGGCTGATGACTGACAGTCTGTTGCTTTGTAATTCACAAGGCAATAAACAGCTGCAGGCAGGACTAATTAGTCAGCAAAAGCGATTCACTGGGAAGTTGCAGTAAGAGCAATAAGGGTTATTGCTCTCAAACAACAAACCCTGCTCAGGGAGAAAGGACAAAGTTTTCTTTTAACATTTATTTTGGAGTGTAGGGTTTCTTTTAAAAGGAGTGATAGAGGGGCATGGAGAGAGAATACAAACAGAAGAGAAAAGCAAGGCAGGATTCATGTGGCTCAGATTCTACTCCTGTGCTTTATTGGAGTGTTTGTTGTACACAAGATGTCTGATACCTGTTTTTTTTCTCCTTTCTGCTCTCCACTATTTGCTATAGGGATCTCAAGCTCAGATGATAATAGAGGTTAGGAGAGCAAAAGAATGTGGTAAAGACTATGGTAAAATTACAAGTCAAATAAAAACAATTTTGTGGGTCAGATTGCAAAATTTAAATCACAGACTAAGTTCAGGTCCTGAGTATGGACTATGAGACCCCTTGAATTGACCTCTGCCTCTTAACTTCTTGCCTTTTCCCTTTTTTGAATCATTGAGCCTCAGTATAACTGATGTTCTCCCTATGTGCCCCACACTTTTTGATTTCTGTATCTTTGCCTCCTGCTCCCTTCTCCCCAGGAATTTTTTTTTAATTAATTAACGTGTGTTCAAATCCTATCTACTTTTTCTTTTTATTCAGGTTTTTGCCCTAAAATGTGTGTGCTCACCAGTGAGAGACAAAGAGAGGGAAAGTGAGAAATCACCCCTGGAAAAATGACCATGCAACACAATCCCCTCTCCTCTGCTCTCCTCTTGGGGTTTTAGGCATGTACATGCATGTGCCTGGGCATGATTTCCAAGCTGCCAGGTCCAGGACTTGAACCACAGTCAACCATGTGGGAGTCTTGTGCCTTAACCACCATGCCACCTGCTGGTCCTCCCTCTACTTTCTAGGTCTCAGTTTCTTTATTTGCCAAATTGAGAAGAAGAGGTAGGTAAAATCAACATTCAGATTGTTTCCTCTTTGAATGGTTTGTGAGTCTGTGGCATTTTCAGCAGGTATGGTTAGTATTCATGGGAATCCAGCTGCATTCTGCGCCCTTAACACAGTGTAATATTTTGTACTTTCCTAGGTGGGCACATTGCTGGGAGTCTTGCTGTCGTCACAGATGCTGCCCACCTCTTGATTGACCTGACTAGTTTTCTGCTCAGTCTCTTCTCCTTGTGGTTGTCTTCAAAACCCCCTTCCAAGCAGCTGACGTTTGGATGGCACCGAGCAGGTACAGTTCACTGATTGAGTAACAGAGTAAAACCTGCAGAGTGAAACAAAGGGTAAAAATGGAAGGTGCAAAGCAAAGCCTTGTTCTAAAATTCCTTAGAGACACATCTCTAGTTGAGGTAAATGTGTATGTGACAATGTGTGCTATCAGTACTAATTTGGACAGACTAATGGTGCAACCTCTACTTCTATGAGACAACAAAAACATGTATATCACTTTAGCAAGCACTCCAGCCACAGTCTCAGTATGTGGCCATAATCATGATATCATTCAATAGAAACTCTGCATCTCTGAAAGAGAGGATGGGGCCAGGGAGAGGTAGAGTCTGCCACGTTAAGTAAGGCACAGAGAGCCCAAGAAAGTGGCAAAGATTGCAAAACTTCTCACAGTGGGATTTGGGAAGGAAATATGAGCTTTTTCTGGTCACAGGCAACATTTAGCTATTGAGTGAATGGTTCAGCTGAATAGCTTGCAACAAACAAAAGGAAAGCAAAAATGAAAGAGGAGGAAGAGGAAATGGAATTTCATCTTTTCTTCTTTCTCAGAGCTGATTCTTTCACTAAGTGACTGCTTGCTTTGGTCTAAGAAGTGGTCCATGTCCTGATGAGGATTTAGTCTCTGGAAAGTTTTTATATTAGCTCATTTGTTACAATCCACTCCCCTCCTCAGCATATACTGTGATTCCACTTCTCCTCTGTGTTATTCTTGTATCAGCTGGCTGAATGTTTTGTACCAATCATGTGAACAAATTCTCATAATTCTATGTTTTCAAACTGGTCGAAAAAATCAGTATGAAGAGAATCTGAGGGCAAAGGCAGCATGGCTAACATGCCAGCTTGGCCCCCCGTCACTGAAAGGTGCAGCTGGGCATAGACCACAGCTGGCAGACTGACTGCTATGGACTGCCTGTTTTCAAGTTTAGAATGATAGGAAGCTCTAATGTTATACTGAGCAATTTATCATTGCAGGTCTTTAGAATTGCCTTTCCTTTAACATTCAGAGACATGAGACAACCAACAGCAATAAAGAGGGCTTATGAAAAACACATCTGAGGATGTGTTTGCCAGTGCTAAAGAGAGCTACACTTGGAAACTATGCATCCTTGGCTGAACTCCTGTCACTTGTTTGTTTAAATTTGTACATGTACCTCATTCTCTTGCACTTTCTGATATCATTGGTTCCTGATACCATTGCTGCTTCCATTTTATAAACATAGGATGGTCTGTAGACATAAAAATGCACTCAGAATTTAGATCATTGCTTGTACTTTGTCCACCTAGTAGTAGAAGTCCATGAACATTGACAATCCAGTAGACCATTCTGTTCAGTGGAACTCTCTGCCACAAGAGAACATTTTCTATAACAGAGAGTATGATGGGCTTTGGAACACTTGAAATGGGGCTAGTGCTACTAAGGAAAGAAATTGTGAAGTTTACTTAACTTCAATTTAAATAGTCACCTGTGATTGGTGGCCAGTGCACTGAGGAGTGAGGTTATAGACATATAAGTGAATCCAACACAGCCATGACTCGTCTGGTCAACCAGATGATTGCTAACTGAATAGTTTTCTTAGAAGGTATGCTAGTACTTGTTGATGGTTTTACCAGAGTTTCCTTTTCTACCTAGTTACTTTTGGATTCCTGACTCTTACATTTAGGTCTGACCCCTGACTCTAGTACTTGGTGTTTAGACTTCATCCTCCCAGCTCTTATCTCCCTGCACTTCTCTAATCATAGGTATGGAGGTGGACATGCTTTACTTGCATAGCCCGATTTGGATTCTTATGCATAGGAGGCACACAACTTGGTATTTATTATCTTAATCCTTGTTTTGGCTAACCAGATATTCTCGGGCATGGTCTTCATGAACTTCTGCAGTGGGAAGTTTTAAGTAGCCCAATTGAATGAATAATAAGTACTTCTTGAGTGTTTGCTGTATGTTGTGTTTGTTTCCTAGGGCTGCCCTAACAAAGTGTACAGACTGAGTAGCTTAAACATCAGACATGCTGCACAGTCCTGGAAAATAGAAGTCTGAGATCAAGGTGTCTGCAGGGTGGGTTCTTCCTGGGGTGTGTGAGGAAAACCTCAGACCACAGTCTTCTGGTGGTTTGCTGGCAATCTCTGATGTTCTTTGCTTGCAGATTTCTGATTTAATCTTTACTTGCCTTCTCTTTGTGTGAGTAACTGTGTCCAGATTTCTCCTTAAATAAGAACACCAGCCATGGGTCCACCCGAAATCAAGATGACCTCATAGTCACTAATTATATTTGCCACAATCCTGTTTACAAGTAAGAAAAGATTTTGAAGTATTGAGAATTGGGACTGCAACATGAGAATTTGAGGTGGGTGGGGCATAACAAACGCTAATTGTTACAAATAGACACTATTACCATACTTTATAGAGATGGAAACTCGGCCCTCAAGTTACTTGTCTACAGTCACATAACCAGTCACAGGTAAACCATACTTATCTGACACTTGAATTCAGGCCCTGAATATCCGCACCATGGTGTAAGAAATGTACCATGGGTGGTTAGATAATTTTTTAAGTGTCACATGGATAATTACATATCCTAATATGTATTAGAAAATAATATATAAACTATGTAATGTCATGAATAACTTTGTTTAGGAAGAAGCTAAATGAAAAAGTAAGTTTATTCATAGAAAGTATTAAGTGGCTAATAAGACAGGTGGCACGTAAATATTGCAAAAATCAACGAGGGTGTGTGTGATGACTGAAGCTGGGAAGAGATAGCCACACACTGAATCACAATACATTAAATTACTCTGCTTTAAAGAGGACCACTACCTGGGATTAGTTTAAAGGAGGAAAGGACAAAGTCATGGAATATGCCTGACCATTGACTCGCCGTGGATTTTTAGAGTCTATTTACTGGGTTGCGTTAGAGATCAGGAAGGGATTTTAAGGAACTCTTAAGTAAGCAAAGATGCTTTCCTCACTGGGCAAATTGAGCACTATTTTATCTTTAAATATGAATGTAAGTGTCTCCATTCTGATGCTTTTTTTCTTTACTGTTGCTCTTAAAATGCATTTAGAGTGTTGATAAGCCTCTGCCATTGCCTCTGTTTATAATATGTGGGGTTGGCAAATAAAACTCATTTTCATCAAATGCCCTCTGAAACCTTCCCTTTTCACTATTTTATTCTACTGAAGGTGCTGGTATGGGTAAGTCGTAAATGTTTTATGGTGAAATTAAGGGTTTCTAAACACATTTTATTCTTTATGTCTCATTATTTCATCTCCTAATAAGTTTCAATCATGTCAGCACCTGCTTAAATTAAAATCCCCAAGGAAAACAGGAAGAGCAGACAGCAATTAATATGTTCTAAAAATTTGCCAGAAATTACTTAGTAATATGGAGCATAATGAACTCAGATGCTGGTGTTTTATGAATGCAACATTAAAATGCCTCATTTTAATTCTAAAGCCCATCCACACTCTTGCTTTGTGAACCACAGAGTGAACTCATTTGAAACCTTTTTATTCGGGAGTGAATTTCAATGTCCTGTGAACCTTGGTGGAGATGGTAGGCAGGTGATGCAGGAGTTATTATGTGGTGGGTATCTTTGTGTGTTTGGCTTCCTAGAGATCCTTGGTGCCCTGCTGTCCATCCTGTGCATTTGGGTGGTGACCGGCGTGCTGGTATACCTGGCAGGTGAGCGCTTGCTGCACCCCGAATACCAAATCCAGGCAACTGTGATGATCATCGTTTCAGGCTGTGCAGTGGCAGCCAACATTGTGTAAGTCACTCCCACACCACGTCCGTTATGCTTATCTTAAAGCCTGTCCGGACAAAGACTTTTTAGAAACTCCTTTACTTGGGGCCAGCAGGTGTCATGGTGGTTAGGGTGCTGGGATCCCAAAAGATTGACTGCATGTTTTCTTTCTTTTTTTTGAGAGGTTTTTCACTATAGGGTGTGTGCACTCACCAGACAGACAGAGACAGAGAGACAAAAAGCGAGAAATCACCCCCCAGAGGGGATGACCACACTGCAATCCCTTCTCCTCCATTCTCCTCTCGGGATCTTGGGCATGCATGCACACGTGCCTGGCGTGGGTTTAAGCCACCGGGTCCAGGATGTGAACTGCGGTCGACTACACAGGAGTCCAGCGACATAGCCATTACACTAACTGCTGGTTCCCAAGATTGACTGCATTTTGAGGACCAGAGTTGGTAGCCTGCTTTCTCATTTTCTCTCTCTCTTTCTCTCTCTCTCTCATGACTATAGCAAGTTAAAATATAATACAAATAATAATAAATTAAATTAAATAATTCTTTAAAAAAAACCTTCCTTTACTTGAGAAGATGGTAGAGACCTGATAGTTCAATGACTCTAACACTGAAAATACTGATTTCTCTAGTTTAAGCCTTTTAAAGGGTCCTTTAGTATTGGCTTCTTCTATTTACCATTTGAAAGTTCCCAATGTGGCAAAGACTGGTAGCATCTTTTAATAGACAACATCAAGTTCAATGTTTACAACATCTCTACCTTTCAGATTAGGAAACAAAAATTCAGTGAGTACATTGAATACATTGCCAGTTCGGTAGTACAGAGACAGGATTTAAATCAGATTTGATCCATAGACCCAGAGTCCAGCTCCTGGACATTCTGCCCTCTCATGTTGACTGTTCCATATGGGATGTAACTTACGCCTGTTCAGTTTCTATTAGGTGAGTAGATTATGGAATTCCCAGAGACCTGGGTTGGAAAGGACTATAACGTTTATTCTAGTCCCATCTACTTTTGAATTTTGTCTTGCAACATCTCTATAAAATAATCATGAGTTTCATATATTGGGTGGTGGGAAAAGTCATGAACCATTTTTGCACAGAAAAAAAAACCCAGAAAAATATATATCATGACTTTTCCAACAACCCAATTAATACCAGAGAATTTGTTTTCTTCAAAAACAATCTATTTTATGTTTGTATAATTGTGACCACATGAAAATTGTTCCTTAAGCTGTGGTAGCTAAACTCTCTCTTTAGTTACCACCTATTGATCCACTCTCTTACTGAAGTACTCTTAAATCATACTCAAAGATATCATATGCCCCTTGCCCTATCACTCTTGCCAAAATAAGCTAGGATTTCTCATGACACCGGGGTTTTGAGACCAAGGTTTTGAACTTTCAGTAACAGTTTCCTTTTTCCTTTTCATTTGATGGTTTGATTCTGAACAACTTTATCTACAACTTTATCTATCTATCATCTATCATCTATCTATCTATCTATCTATCTATCTATCTATCTATATCTATCTATCTATCTCTACCTGTTTATATATCTATCAGCATCTATCTCTATCATCCATCCATCTATCTACCTATCTATCTATGTATCTATGTATCTATCTATCTATCTAACATAATATATCCACCTACCTCCCTACCTCCCTATCATCTGTTATAGGCTAAATAATGACCTTCTAAAGATTTCCACATCATGGAATTTCTGACTATGTTCATTTACATGGGAAAAGGAACTTTGCAAACATGATGAAAGATTTTAAAATGAGGAGATTATTTTGAATGAATAATGAATGTAAATCATGGGCCCTTCTCAGAGAGAGGTAAGAGGTCAGAAAGGAGTGTGTATGCTCCACTGCTGGTTTTAAATATGGAGGAAGAAGCCTGGAGCCAGGGAATGTAAATGGCCTCTAGAAACCTGAAGAGGCAAGAAAATGAATACCTCTGGAGCCTCCAGAAATAATACAGTCTTGCAGACCCACTTCAGAATTCTGACTTTTATAATTAGAAAGACATTTGTATTGTTTTAAGCCACTAAGTCTTTGTGGTAGTTTGTTAGGGCAACAATAGGAAACTCACATGTCCTCTCTTCATCATGTTCCTGTCTACATGGCATATGCTATGAGGTAGGTTTTTACATGAAAGTGAAGAAGGCAGTGATGGAAGAAAGGTGTTTTAAACAATGAATTTTAAGACAAGACAAAACAGAACCTCTAGAATTAGAAAGAAAAAGCATTGAGCATGTATATACTGTTCAGATGTTCCTCATGTCACCCTAACAGCCTTACCTATTGGTACCTTAGTTCCCAACTCCTCAGTTTGTGAACCACTGCTCTGAGCGAAACCATTAGAAGAACAGTGTTTGATCCGCTGTCACTGACTAGATTCCTATCTCCAACCAGTTAAGTTGAAAATGTGTGTCTCACATTTTCACTGGGAGAAAAAGTGTGGATCAATGAGAATCTATCTCCACTAAGGAGATAAATAGGCCAGAGCATGTGTCTTGCTGACTGGGGGTCAATAACATCATCTTTGCATAAAGAACACAATGTGTTCTGCAGCAGGAAGAGGAAAAGCATTAATTTCCTGAGAGTCATGTGTGACATAGGTTGTGTTGCTGTTACACAAAGATGAAAGACAGATCCAGCCCACTACTATATCAATGTTCAATGTCCTACTGTCCATCCTGTGCATCTGGGTGGTGACTGGCCTGCTGGTATTTCTGGTAAGTGAGCGCCTGAAGGTGCTGGTCCTGGCAAGTTGTGAGTGTTTCATGGTGAAATTAATTAAACTTTAATGATCAAGTTTGACTTTCTAAATAGATAACATCCAAATTTTCTTTTTACCGTATTGAAGATTGACTTTAACATTGCAGATGTTTTTCATATTTTGAATGAAAGAATTGAAAAGCTCTGTCTTCCCTGTACAAGGAGATAGTTATTTTTGGATAAAGCTGCTAAGTAACTATAATGTTTTGTCCAAGAACTGGGATTACAGGTTTCAAGTGCTGCTAGATGCTGTGCTATCTGAATAGAGAGATATAAGAACAGCGATTTGGAATAAATCTATTTGCTAGGGATACAGAAATCAGGACAGAAAGTTTCAGTAGAAGTTGCAAAGATGTTTTAGGGTAGATGGAGACTTAAGGCTCTGTGTGGCATGCCAAGTTTCCTCTCTCCGAAACATTCTTTTCCTCATAAGTTACTTAAACTTCAATGTAGCATTTAAAATTCAGCTCAGTTGCTGTGTTTCTTTAACTAAATAATACTTTTTTGTCTTACTCTTTATAGTACCAGTTCATGTTTGTTTAATCTCTTCCACCTCCATCACACTTACAGCTACACTGGGGAGGGATTACTTTTTTTTAATTTTTTTTTATTTATACCTTATTACTTAAGCATTTAACAGTGCCTGGCGGTGCCTAAGTATTCTCTCATTTTCTCTTTTAATAAAATGAGTAAAAGGGCCAACAAGGGGCATAGTGATTAAGGTTTTGTAGTCTTGCATGGCTGACTGCAGTTTAAGTCCTGAATTTGGTGGTTTGAAACATGCCAGGCACATGTACTTGTGTTCTCAAAATCGCAGAAGGAGCATGGAGAGTGAATTGCAGCATGGCCGTCTTCCATACGGGATGGTTTCTCACTTGCCCTTTCACTGTCTCTCTCTGTCTCTTTGGTGAACATATGCAGCCTTTGACAAAAATCTTAAATATTTTTTTTAATTAAATAAGTAAAAGAATGAATGACAACATGATGAGTTTACATGGCAGATCTTGAAAAGGATCTTTCAACTGCTAGTCATATCAGGCTGCTTAAAGACCCTTCAATGGTAATTCTTAATTGAAGCTGAATTTCTACTGAAACATTGACAATCTAAAAATAAACGCTCTGTAATGATCAATCTTGGAGCGTAGCATTAATTCCTTTTAGTGGTGATGTCCTGAGATTTAACAGACCCATTACCTGTAAATCTACTGGGATATATAATATTAAACAATAAGGATTTTTGTTTTGTTTGTTTTTACTGTTGCTCTAAACTGCTATAAGGGATAAAAACACATCTTGTTAGCCATAGTGAAAGGGTTCTCATTTTACTTTTGATCTAATAACTCTTCAAGTTGTAGATAAGTGAAATGAGGTACATAAGTTATAGTGCCTACTACTTATCCCTTTGATGTGGACAGACAATGCTAAACTTTATAGTAAATTGCGAAAGTATATGTACATTTGTAAGTAGACTACATTAATGCATTGCTTTTGGTTAATACCCGAGGGTACATGTGTGTGGTGGTGGTGGTGGGGAGGAGGGTAGATAAAGAGAGAGAAATCTCCCAGTGGGACCTGGTCATGCCGTAATCCTTTTCCCTCCAGTTCTCTATCCAGTCAGGATCCTGGGCATGGATGTGTGTACCTGGCATGGATTTTAAGCATCTGGGGACATGACCCTGGTCAGCCATATGGAATCCAGCTTTCTTTGTGCATTAATCACTATACTACAGGCCATCTGGACATTAATACATTTCTGTCTCTGGATAAATAGCTGTATATACATAAGCAAATATTCTTGTCATTAGACATTAGGGAAATATTCAGATTTCAAATTTTCTTGAAAATGAGCAAACTTAAGTAAAATAAAATATTAAAAAATCTGACCTTCCTTAAATTCAGCACTTACTTTATTTTATACCTTTCTGTTGCTTTTTTGTATTATAAAACCTATACAGAGCTCCTGAAAAGCTCAGCTCTAAGCCTAGCTCAGTGCTTGACATTTAGTAGTTCTTCAGTAAATGATGTGTTCTTTATTGTCAAATGCTCACTTTCTTCTAAAAGGTGATATTTTCCAGTTTTAATGTGAAACAGAGTAATGTTAAGTGGATGAAAGAAAAAACTGAAGTGAATCTTTGTAGTCTCTTTTTGTATAAAAATGGAAAAATTCTGTGCTACACTTGTATTCAAACATTAGTTCAAAATGGTACATTTTAGAGCATAAATATTTCACGTATCCACTAATTTGCATAATGCACATACTCACCACATCTTCCATTATGCTGCATATGTTTTTCAAGGTTAATCTCATGTGTGCCAAGAATCCTGTTCTCTTTCAGACTGACTATGATTTTGCACCAGAGACACCTTGGCCACAATCGCAGGGAAGCCCAAAGTAATGCCAGTATCAGAGCAGCTTTTGTGCATGCGCTTGGAGATCTATTTCAGAGCATCAGTGTGCTAATCAGTGCCCTTATTATCTACTTTAAGGTGAGTATACTTGAATTTACCCACCATGATAGAAATTATTAGGTAGTACAGAAGCTGACCCTCCAATATTAACTTTTTTTTTTTGAGAGTTTTTTTGCTAAAGGGTGTGTGCACTCTCCAGAAAGATTAAGATAGACAGGGAGACAGAAAGTGAGAAATCAGCCCCCAGGGGAGATGGCCATGCTGCAATCCCTTTTCCTCCATTCTCCTCTCAGGATCTTGGACACGCACGCACGCACACATGCCTAGTGTGAGTTTAAGCCACCAGGTCCAGGACTTCAACTGCAGTCAACTACATGGGAGTCCAGCAACATAGCCAATATGCCAATTGCTGGTCCCCCAATATCAACTTGAAAAAGAATGGCCAGCCCATCTTTGCCTATATAAACTGTGCAGAATTAAAACAAACAAGCATCCAAAGCCTGAAATCTTAGAATATACCAAATTCTTAAGAGCTGCGTCTTGAACTGTTGGGCTTCCAGTCTTTTAAGAAAGGAACAAAAGTTGCTTTCATCATAGTGTTAGGATGGACAGCAATGAAACCATAAATATCTTAGTGTTCTGGAGATGTAGGTAACAGGGATGATCTCTGGCTCAAATAAGCAAAATAATAAATTTGTTGGATCAAGTTTATTGGACATACTTCTGGAGAGAAGTCAAAGTAGAAATAAAGACATCACTTGGATCCAGATTTTTAAGAACTCTTCAACTTCTGTCTGTCTCAGGCATCAGGCTGAAATCAATGTGGCTAAACCAAATTATTTCCTATTTTTGTCACCGCTAAATATCTAAATGTTGGTAAAGGGAGGTCCAATAGACCTCATGTGTGTCTTGTACCTACTAGTTGGTTGTAGGGAGTGTAGAGCAGCACATAGCTTCTCTACTGTCCCCACAGTTTTACTGACAATGAGGGAAAAATAACTTCTCCCTAAGAAGCCATGGTGCTAATGAAAAGTGAGAATCGATTCTGGGTGAGCCTCTGGTCCTAAAAAAATAAATATTCACTATGTATCTCTATTTTTAATACCACTACATATTTGCTACACAGATATTCACTGCATATCTCTATTTTTAATACCAAGAACTAACAGAGGTAGGTTTCAGGGTGGGGATTGGGCAAAGGAGGGGGAAATCATTTAGTTCTGTCTGCATCATGATTGTCCAATTTGCAGAGACTCTTTACTGTTGTCTAAAATGTGAAAACATGTAAATAGAAATGACAAAGACGTATCTGAATTCAGTTGAACACAACAGCCGTTGAAATCATCAAGTTCAAGACAAAAATAGATCAAAACTGCAAAGCTTAGGGGAGTTTGAAAGCCCCATTACAAAGGTTAGCTTGACGCTGTGTTTCTCAGAAGTAGTGAGGCACAGTCTTTTCTGTGGTGTAGACTTCATCAAGGGCAGAATAGCAGGTGTTTCATTCCGAAGCCAAGAGCTCCAGTGGGAGGAAGAACAAGAATGGTGCACTGACTCGTATTTTTAGGACTATATCCTACTGAGATGCTTGCCTTGAGTATGTGTCACACTTGCGAGGGAAAGAAATAAATTAACCCAAGACAGGCAAGACCAAAGTCCAGCTGTACTTGAGCCACACGTAGCCTTTCTTCCTTTAGTCATAATTAAGGCTAAAAAGTCCTAACATAGCATGGGCATATTTGTGCATATTTTCACCACATACTCTATACTTCTATTAATTTGATAGAAGTTTAAGTCAGGCCTCTTGAGAGCACACTTAAGAAATGCTCCCCTTTAGCTCTTTAATTATGGGGAACGTATGCTCTATAGTTTCCCTTCTACAGTAGGTTTTTTTTTTTTTTTTTTTTTTTTTTTTTTTTTTTTTTTTTTCGCTAAAGAGAATTGAGTCTTGGGAAGAAAGTTTTGCTTCTGACCTGAATGTCAAGTGTCAGCAAGAAGAAGCGGGGGACACAGAGAGAAAAAAGTAACAAGATTTACTTATTTTACTGATCAGACTTTCTAGGGAGGAGGTATAAATTCAGTTAACCAAAGTCTCTTTGTCTTTTAGCCGCTAAAGAGAAGAATTGAGTCTTGGGAAGAAAGTTTTGCTTCTGACCTGAATGTCAAGTGTCAGCAAGAAGAAGCGGGGGACACAGAGAGAAAAAAGTAACAAGATTTACTTATTTTACTGATCAGACTTTCTAGGGAGGAGGTATAAATTCAGTTAACCAAAGTCTCTTTGTCTTTTAGCCAGACTACAAGATAGCTGACCCGATCTGCACATTCATCTTCTCCATTCTGGTTTTGGCTAGCACTATCACAATCTTAAAGGACTTCACCATCTTACTCATGGAAGGTAGGAGTAATTTTATTATTATTTCCAGGGTCAATGTGTCCTCTTTCCTGTGATTACAAAACAAAGTAGCTGCAAGGCATACTTATTATTAATTTAGCTTATGGGGAAAATTTAAACTGACGAAGAAATCACCCTCACTACCAAAAAAATTCTTTCTTATGCTAAAGCTTATTGCCTGATTTCCTTTTCCCTCAGTTCTGTATTTCAGTGATTTTCTTTTCATTTGTCACAAAGTAGTTGAAGAACTGCTGGTTTCTGCTCTTCTGTCTTCATTGGAAGAGTTGGCTCAGAGAGAGACATTGTGTAGTTCAAAGAGCAAGGTTTGTGTATCAGATAAATCTCAGCTCAAATTCTAGTCAGGAAAGTTTCTAACTTTAGAACCTTATAAAAGGTCCTTAATTCCTCTAACTTCAATTTTCTTATCTCAAAAGTGGGAATGCAGTATCCACCCTGTAGTTTCAGGAGGATAAGATGAGATAAATGGCCTTAATGGAGTAAGAATGTAGCAAATGCAGCAAATGCAAGTTCTCGGTTCTTATGGTTGACTGAAGTGTAGGAACATGAAGGTAGGTTGTGAAGATGAACTCTGCACTGTACACCAAGAAATCCTCAGTTCTTGGCATAGACTGGTTATAGCCCTGACCATAGGGTCATCAGTGCTGATGGCCTAAAAAGGTCAAATAAAGTTTTGATTATAACAAATCCATTTTTATTATCAGTAAAACTATTTGATGGTACTTGAAATGAGAGAATTACTGACTCTCAGTGATGTTATTGTGTTATATTAAAGACATAAGACACTTGATTATATATGCAAGGTGGTTTACCATTGTTGTACTGACCATTTGTAATGGACACAGATTACGTTTTTTTATCCTACATTTTAGGAAAACAAGTATTAAAGAGGGTCTAAATTAGACTTCATTAGACTAATCTAGCAGTTCTCATACTTCTGTGGCATGAGAATTATTTGAAGAACTTGTTAGAACACATGTAGCTTGGTGCACCCCACAGTTCTCGAGTCAATAGATCTTGAATTTGTAACAAATACTGGTGCTGTTAGTCCCAGGACCCATTTTAAGAACCACTAATATTTCCATATCACTTAAAGGATTCCTACACAATGGCATTGAGAATATTACCTGGAAAATCCAATCAGAACTAGGTTTATATCATGTCCAACATTCAGATGATTGAAAATATCCAGCATTTGCTGAACTTTTCTTTTTCATCTAATACATCTTGACATAAGGTAGATTGTAATCTCAGTGACAGTTCCCACATCATTAATGTTCACTGCTGAGTATACATTTAAGGGTCTGTTCTTGGTGACATTGTAAGTGTTGGCAGATGATAGTGTTGACAACAGTGAACGGATAGTGAAGTTAAACATCACTGAGTAGCAAGTGAGCTTTCTGGCCCTGAACATGCGAATATTTGGCTTTCAAGGTGCAGATGCATCCATCTTCTTTCCTGAGGGCCAAGTGCTACGCTACAGCTGTTGTTGCTATTATGGACAGTACTGACTTAAAGGGAGATAAAAGACAAATTGGTGTACGATTTTAGATGACTTATATTCCACTTTTTCTATCCCAGTACAGTTCTTTCCCAGGGCTTTTCTTTCTCACTTTATTTAAGGAACAGGACAGAATATGGGCTATCTGAGCTAAGTATTAAAACTAGAGGGCAATTCCTTTCTGAAAGATACTAATTTTTTTAGTTGTTTTTAAGTTAAGTGTAGGTTAAGTATAAGATAATATTTACAATTACTAAAATTTTTAAGTAGTACAGAAAAGTACAAAATAATAAGAAAAAGTCTTCCCATAGATCCACCTTTGATTTTTCAATCTGATTCTTTAGGAATAGTTAATAAGTTGGCATCTTGGTATCTTTCCAAAAATATTTATTCATTACCATACATATGTCTTTTTTTATATAAAAATGGGATTACATATTGCTTTGGTTCTGCCTCTTACTTTTTTCAGTTGGAGATCTTTTATAAAAGCAGACATATAGATATACTCCATTATTTTTCAAAGTTGCATTTATACTCCACTGAATGGAAGTATAGGGAGGTAGTCTACCAAAAGTCAGTGGAAAATGTGTATTGAGAAAAAAATATGTATGGATTTCAAAGATTTTTTTGCACCAAAATAGGCTTGTCCTTTCATCCCATTTTCATAAACATTTTAAGGTCCCTTTGTACTTGTATATGAAGGATATTACAATGGTGTAATTACCACTCTGGCACATACATATTTTTAACATGTTTATATCTGTGGATTAATGCCTAAATATGGCATTGCTGTTTCAAAAGTAATGTGTATTTTAAATTTTTGTAGGTAATGCTATTTCTATCAAAGATATCATCATTCCAATCTCCTTCCCTCAAACAGCATTTGAAAATGTCCATTTCCTCACATCCTCACCATCATTGGTTATTAACAAACTGATGTTTCTTTTCCAAGTTGACAGGTGCAACTTGCATCTTTCTAATTTCATATAGAAATTAAAAATCATGAATAGTACTGAGTATGTTTTTAAATATGTGTATTAGCCTGAGGAACTATTTTTTAAAATACCAATTTGTGTATTTTCCTGACGTGTTAGTTTTTTTGCAGCCTGCCCCTCCACAAAATAGGTTTGTAGGATATGATGGAGCTTTGAGGCCAGTGGAGGGAATGTCTCTTGCTTGTCAACATTATTCCTACAGTAAAATAAGTGATGATGAACTTGTTTTCCCTATAAAAGTAGAGATGGCAACCAACAGGTGGCATAATGGTTATATTGCTGGACTCCCACGTAGTCAACCTTGGTTTGAGTCCCAGACCTGGCAGCCTGAAACTCATGCCAAGTGTGTGCATGCCAAAAGTACCGAGGGGGAGTGGAAGATAAGGGATTGCTGCATGGACATTCCCCTGAGGAGTGATTTCTCTCTTTCTGTCTCTCTGTCCCCTTCTGTCTCTCAGTGAGTGCACATACTCCATAGCAAAAATATCGCTCTAAAAAAAAAAGTAAAGAGATGAATAAGGCAAGAGAGAACAAGAATAATGGGATCAGGACTTCATTTCAAGAGGTTTAGATAAGTAACAGTAAATCTTCAAAGGTTCACCAGGAACTCTCTAAAGTGATGGCACACACTAGGCATAACTTTTAGTGTGATATCTAGACTTCAGCATCTGTGTAACACTTGACACAGAGCATGGACATCAGAATCAGACATCCCTGGCTCTGCCTCTCATTTGCGTGGCCTTAGTAATGTTAATGTTTCTTAACCTCTCTGACCCTAACTTCCTCTTCTCCAGTTAAATGTGAATTGTGACATTGATAACCAGTTTTCTGTTTTTCATACACACGCACGTGCACACACACACACTTGTGTGTGTTCGATATTATCTGTTGTTTCTGGAATCCATTGGGGTTCTTGGAAGGTATCCCCTGCAGATAAAGAGAGACTTCTGTATATAATTGAAGCAGAGGTTTAAAGGGAGTTGTTCTTAGAAATATCTTTTATACCCTTTGAATCATCTTTATGTGCCAGAGATCTGCTCATCTAAACAAATGCTTTACCATTATAGTACTGCGGGCTTTTTTGTTGTTGTTGTTTGTTTGTTTGTTTGTTTTTTAATTCTTTATTGAGCTTATTTCTGTTTTACTATTCCAACCAATCGTTGGCTCTACTTCTCTCTGGGAAGCATGCTAGCACAAGTGTTCTTACACATTCACATTCTCGCATCTCCTATATGATAAACTTTGCAATGTTTGACAAAAACGATCAGACTTCTCTTGGTCTTCTCTTCTTTGGGCTAGAGACACCCAGTTCCTTTAGCCCAAAAGTTTCTGTGTGCCCCTGAAGGCAAGGTCCAAGGGTGACAGTCAAACTATTATATTCCATGACCCAGGCACTGAATTCTGACTGGTATAGCTAAAATAATGGAAAATTTACAAACTAAATAGTAAGATGGCATTACAATATTGAGATCCCCTACGTACATTGCTCATTAAATATTGTTTTGTCCTTCTCCCCTTGCTTCCCTCCCACCTGCCCCCTTCATTGCCCACCCTCCTCCCACACCATCTTTTGTATCCACATTTGCTCTCAATACTTTTATACATCCCAATCTTTAATGGACACAAAAATGGAAAGTTATCTGTTGATGATAATGTGTTTAGTATCTTTGGACTAATATATAGTATTCATGCTGGGAAAATTCATTTTGTAAGCTATAAAGATGTACAGTGACTAAATGTTATAACAACAAATATATGCAAAAATTATTCATTAAATGACCTGTTGGATAACTAACATTTGCATGTCATTGCAGTTTACCAAGAGCTGATGTTTTCTGATTTGCTTCTAGAAGAAGTCTGTAGTCTATATATTGTTCCTCACCCCTATTTTACTACAAATATGCTGAGGATCAGAAAAGTTTAACACTTTTGGTAAATTCATGATAGTTGTAGTCAGAATGCTAACCCAGGGTTATTTTATGCTGAAGCCCATGTTGCTTCACTTTATTTTCCAGGGCACATGCAAAGAAAATGAGGAAAAACAATTAACTTGATAATACACTCTAAAAAGTCAGAGTGGTTATTGCTAGTTATTAGTAATAGTAATTGCATATTCTGTAAGCATTATGTCTATGAGCTCTTGATTGATGATAAACTCTTTGAGTTACTCAGGTGGCTCTGATTTGGAAACATTTGAAATAACCAGAAATGGAGAAGGCAAATTGGTATATTGTTGAGGACTTTATAGGCTGTATAGCCATTTTGATGAACTGTATTTAGTTATAACAAGAGCCTCCCACTCCTTCCTTTTTCAGGTGTGCCAAAGGGTCTGAACTATAGTGGTGTGAAAGAGCTCATCTTAGCAGTTGATGGGGTGGTGTCTGTGCATAGCCTGCACATCTGGTCTCTAACAATGAACCAAGTGATTCTCTCAGCTCATGTTGCCACAGGTCAGTGAGTTTGGTAAACACCTTGGACAAAATTCAGTCTTTGTTGGATAATGTCCTTCCTTTTTGTAGAGCTTGCCTTAGGGTCTATTGCCTATCAAAACACTGTAAAGTATTGCATACTACCACGGGCCTTCAAAAACCAACTTACTTATTGATGTTGTCATAGCAACAATGATTCAGTTGACACCCTTGGGGTTGACTATAACGGCTTGAGAATAGATGAAACAAAGGACTAAAATGTCATCCCAACTTCATGCCCTTGGACTCTGAATATTTGACTTCACCGCTTTGGATTGGTGTCCTAGAAATTGAATTATAAGAATTAATTCAATAGCTAACCTTGAGTATCTCCTATGTGTAAGATGCTTTGCCTGCTGTGGAAAATAGAAAGATGAAGGGGACCCAGATTCTACTCTTGAAGTTCTCATAAGCTAGTATGTGTGCTATAAGGAATTATGGTGGACTTTTGCCATATGTTAGAATTCTCTAGCTAAATGGAATAGTCTTAGGATATTGGTTTTATACTAAAAACTACTTTTTCAAGTAGAAGAACGTGATTTTGTCCATGTTATGCCCTAAGGCTGGGAGAATAGAAAGTGGGAGGTCTTTCATTATAGGAACACCAGTGACAGTCATTTGATGACTGTGCTTTCTCACATCTCCTCATCTTCTCTAGGGGCTCAGATCTGGCTTCAGATAATTTACAGCATTCACTACACCAATATTTTATGGCAGATGGTGAATCTAGTATCCAACCAGGTTACTGTGGAAGGACCGTCCTCCTGATACCATTTGGGACAGGAAAAAAGATGGCAATGAGGGTTACTACTCTAAGAAAAGTCAGTAGGGAGCTCTAAATGCTGCTTGGTTCCTGCCAGTAGCCATGATATAAATTCTGATTACATACAAGTGCTGCAACCAGAGACCCTTGGGGGCCGATGAACAGAGCTGTCTAAAAAATGTTAATTCCATCTTGACTTTTCCTAAGGCTCATCTCCCTTTCCATACTCAGCTTCTAGGAGCCCAGAATCCAGAGATAATGGAGGCAGGAAAGGTTTCCATAGTTACAGGGCACTTCGCTCCACTAGAATTTCCCCCAGCCTTGCCTGTGTGAGTGTAGCTGATTGTTAGAGCCAACCTGGCTTCGTCCGAGTGCTTTGTCTGTGCCCTACAGAACTGGTCAAAGACAAAGCACTCAAAGCTAGAATCTCAGCAGTCACTGATCAGTGCTAATCTCACTGTGGTTCTTTATCTACAGCAACCAGCCGGGACAGCCAGGTCGTTCGGAGAGAGATTGCAAGAGCTCTCAGCAATAGCTTTACCATACAGTCACTCACCATTCAGATGGAATCTCCAGCTGATCAGGACCCCAGCTGCCTGTTCTGTGAAGACCCCCAGGACTAGCTCTGTCACTTTGTCAGCTTCTCACATTTGATAGGTCACTCCATGCTGCTATATAGTTTCTGGAACCAAAGGAAATAAGGATCCAAACAAAGAAATTTGAGAGACAGTGTGGTATACATTTTATTATTTATTTATCTCCATCTACCAGGAACAGATATGTATTTAGCTCCATCAGTCAATTGGATTACATACTCATCACTAGCTGTGTTCAATGGCAAAAATGTGTGTATAGATTATTCCTAATTGGGGCTGAAATAACAGATGTTTGTAGTCACAGGCAGTAAAAGGCTCACCTCCTTTCAATAATGCATCCTGAGAATGAGTGGGTAAAGTTGAATATGGGAAAGTCTTGTCAGTGGCAGGAACAAATTACCAAAAATTTTTCATAAAATATGAGAGGGAGGGACCAGCAGATGATGTAATGATTACATCATTGGATTCCCACATAGTTGACTATGGTTCAAGTCCTGGACCTGGTGGCTTAAAACTCATGCTGGGCATGTGTGCATGTGTGCCCAAAATCCTAAGAGAATGGAGGAAAAGGGATTATGATGTGGCCATCACCATAGGGGATGATTTCTTGTTTTCTGCCTCTCTGTCTCTCTGTGTCTCTCTGGTGAGCACACATGCCCTATAGCAAAAATCTCTCTTAAACATATGAGAGGGACAAGTAAAAAGAGTCAAGACACGGATAAAAGAGAATCTGGAGGCCTAATGTCCTGTTAGAACTGGAGTTATTAACCAAACTCTAATATGACTTGGGTCATATCTTTTAACTCTTACCAAGATTGCTATGCCCTAAATGAGGTAGAAATTTCCTCTCAGGCTTGCATCCAATGACATTGTGAATATCTAAAAATATTGAACTGTATGTCACTCTTCTGGGTAAAAGACTTAGACAAGAGAAAGATCAATTGCTCCTTTTTTAGTGTTTTTGCATGATATATCTTAATAAAAGAAAATGAGAAAAAGAGAGGCTGAGTACTTATCCCTGGTCACAGGGAAAACAATTTAATAGAAAAAGATAAGCATTCCAAAGCTTTGAATAATATTTATGAAGCATCAAATATTGTCCAGTTACTATACTGGACTATTTAGATATTTTGCATTGTTTCAATCCAATGACAACTTTGGGAAGTTGGAGTTTATACCATTACACATAAGGACACAAAACCTGAAGAGGTTCAGTAACTTAACCAATGTTGTTTATTCATTCATCCAAAAAAAATATTTTTGATGCCAACTATGACCAAACCACCATCACTTTTGACCTCATAATGTTTTTCCCTTCTGTGGGGGAGACAGGCATGACATGAATATGCACACCCAAGAATATACTACAAGTTTTGGCAGGTAATCTGAAAGAAGACAGGCTGATTTAGATTGAGGAAGCTCAATAGAGAGCCTCTGGAGGGAATAGCATTTCAGTTAAGACCTGAACAAAAAGTAGGAGCCAATCAAGTGAACTGTAGAAGGAAACATTTTCTAGAAGATGCATCATGGCCCAGCCAGGGTTATACAGGCAGGAGAGGTGCTGTTCAGAAGGTTAGAGACCACATGGGAAGGCTCTGAGTTTGTGTCACAGCTTCACATCAGCATTCAGGTACAATTGCAGGCTGCAGGCTGGGGGTAAGGATAGCAGCATGAAGGCCATGGGTACCTCTGTCTCTTTGTTTCTCTCATGAAGGAAATAAAGAAATAAACTTTTAAAAAGAAGAAGGGCCAGCCCACTGCTTAGAGGTCAAGGGAACCAGATCCCACATGGCCAACTACAGTTCAAATACTGTCCCTGGCAGTTTGAGGGACACACAAGGTACATGTGCATGCATGTCTGATGTCCTTGCAGAATAAAGAAATCGAGTAGGGATTGCAGTATGACCACACCCACATTGGAGGATGTTGTCTTTCCCTCTCTCTACCTTTCTCTGGTGAGCACACATGCTTTCTGGCAATTAAAAATAAGAAGGGGACTAGCAGATGGTGTAATGGTTACGTGGTTGGATTCCCACATAGTTGACTATGGTTTGAGTTCCAGACCTGGTGGTTAAAACTCACACCAGGCACATGTGCGTATGTATCTAAAATCCTGAGAGGAGAATGGAGGAGAAGGGATTGTGGTGTGGCCATCCTCTCTGGGGGATAATTTCTTGCTTTCTGTCTCTCTGTCTCTCTGTCTCTCTAACAAGCTCATGCACCCTATAGCAAAAACAAAAACAAAACAACAACAACAAAATAGAGCAAAAACTAAAACAAAATTCTCTCTCTCTAAAAAAAAAAAGAAGACAAGCAGACATTTTGAAGAAAGGACTCGGTACATATGAAGAACTTATAAAGGCCCCTGTAGCCCAAGGCGACTAAGGAAGAGGGTGAGTTAAAGGACATGGAGGATGTGAAGTAGGAGAGAAAAGTCAGGCTAAGCCCGTCTACCCTTTCTCTTTGAATATTTTTTCTCTGTTTCTTTTTGCCAAAGTAATGTGCCTAAGTAATGTGCATCCACAAATCAGCTACTATTTGAGAAGCGAACGCAAATTATGACTCTACATTCTTAAAAATGAGAGGTATGAATAAATCGTTGAGTTTAAAAGCAAAAGATTATTGTATCCTGTCCTAGGTAGCGCTGGATGTGGTCCTCTCTACCCAAGTATTGGTCTAAGAAAAGATGAAATCTGAACTAATAGAAATGGTAATGGGCTGAACTTACTCCAGAGTTCCCTGAGTTATGCCACTGGCATGTGCATTGTGAAAGGGAAGAGCTGTGAGTGTTGTGGGTGAAGCAGGAAACTCTGGGGGTAAAGGAATGAACATCAAGTGAATGAGAAATCATGGTTTCCATCATCCCTTCCTGCTTCTTTCCAGATCTTTGACCTTCAGATGTTCTCAATTTTTCTGTGTTTTGGTTTCCTTGCCTGAAAGTAGGGTTTCTACTGGCATAACATGGAATGATAAATGTAAGGAATAAAGTTCTTTATCTGGTAAAAAGTGTTCAGTAAACATTAGCTCCAATTCAGAGTTTCTCATCCTCTGCACAATTCCTATTTTAAGCCAGATTGTTTTTGTTGTGGAGGGCTACCCTGTTCATTGTACAATCAACATCCCTCGACAAGCTCCCAGTTTCACTCCCCACCCTGAATTGTAACAACCATACACATTCACACACATGCACCTTGGATATGAGGGAAGAAGGGAGGTGGCTTGACTTGTGGGGACTTTGAGCTTGAATGTCTGCCTTTTAATAAGACATGGCAGGATAAGAAAAAGATTACTCTAGATTGTTCCTTTTATGTCAGTCCACTTCTGCCCACTTACTTTCCATATTCTCCATCTGGGGCAGGAGCATTTAATATAGTTTGCCTGATACTTGGACATTCTTCTGGCTATGTTTTGCTAGTTGACATGCTTACTGTGTCTTAAAGCTATGAATATACGGTCTTATTATTTTTTTCCTTGCCCCTTTGGTAAATAAACCTCTCTAGAGTGTGTCTTCTTAAGTCAGGCCTAGATATTGCACTCTTTTCTCCATCTCCTCTGGGCACATAGCCACATGCATAAGTTAGACCAAGGCCTTCTCTGCAGATTTGGCCATTCATCTCTCCCTTTCACTCCCTCTGTGCACCAAGAGAATTTAATTTTGGTCTTAATATTTAGATTCAAATAGTAGAAAAACAATACCCTCCATCCTCAGCCTCCAGCCCAAGCAGTGTATTTCAAACCATAAGAATCATTTTACTAGGTTAGTAGATTAACTCAAATATTAACTAACTGATATTTTCATTTATATTCTGCTATGATTATTTGTATAGCTACTTCCTCTAGGATGCTTACATGGACAAGAGAGGCAATTGGCATGAGGGAATTCTCTATTTCTGAATCCTTGGTCATATAATGCCATCTTACCACAATCCAAATTTCAGTCCTTATTTCTAATAAGGAGAAAGAGCTGTTTGAGATGTGAATTCCATTTTAAATGTTTGAAGCCTGAAGAGGTAAATGTCCATCAGGTAGTTAGAAACTTGGTCATGGACCTTAGAATATATAATCTCTTGGAATAATTTTTAGTCCTAATTTGGACATATGTGTGAATATACAGAGATATTTTTTGCAACTAATCTTTATTTTCTTGTTACTTTTTGGCAATGAATCCTTCCTATTTGTAAACTCTAACCTATTTGTTGCAAAACTTCATATAATCATGCATTAAAAGAAAATAATTCCACCTATCAGACTGCTCAAGTGCTAAGACTAGCCAAAAGATGTGGTTGTATTGGGCTGTTGGAAAAGTCATAATGCATTTTTACATAGAGTACTTCATGACTTTTCCAACAACCCCAAAGAAAGCCATATATTGTCAAGAAGGGTCTACAGAAACATCTCAGTTGATGCCAACGGGCTACTATCACAGATAACTGAGATAGTCTCCTGTAGGGAGAAGTAAGGCATATGCAGTCCATTCATTCAACCCACGTGCATATTCTGAGCTTTTGCTGTGTGCTAGGCATTGAGCTTAGCTTTGGAACTCTAAAAAGGGTTCAGACAGTGCATGCTTCTAAGCCCTGGTTATAACTCAGCATCACAGCTAATAAAATAATATGGAGTACATTGAGATAAAATAATGATGTGTAGGTTGACAGCCTGGAAATCCCAAGTGAATGGGTCTAGTTTGGAACCTGGACTTTGGTATTTTTTTAAGTTACCCAGAGATGATTCTAAAGAACAACCAGAGTCTAGAAGAACCTCAGTAACAAGAAGTCACTGAGTGGAGAGATCGGACACGTACCAAGATAACTACAGTAGTAATGAATTGTAGTGATGCTGTGCAATGTAAATGGACAGAGATGAGTATTGCTGAGTGGTTATGGCCAGAGGGAATTCATGTCATTGAGGACTATTGAGGAAATAATCATGCTGAACTTAGAATTATATACGAAGGGTCTCCAAGCAGCTGAGAAAGGTGTTATAGACAAAAGTAAGACTATTTTCAAGACATACTTAGGCTTGCCTGTTGGTTTTTAATTTGAAATGCAAAACACATAGCAAAAGAAACTTATCTGATTCTTTTCTAAAACAAAAACAATTTTTGCTACTTTATGATTATTAATATTGTAGCGAGCAAGAGTTATGACTCAGATGATTTTTATGTTATTGTCAGCCTCTAGCTGAGTGTTGGAAACCTAGCAGGCATTAATAATTGTTGAGGCAATGACTCCGGTGCTGTATGTGGGCCTTGTCATTTTTCACTTGAATTTGTATTTTTCTGAAATTTTCAGGGCTAGGAAAATATTGACTCTGATTGAGGAGGTCATATCCGTACCTTCTCTGCAAATCAATCAGCACCCCTGAAATAGAGGCTTAGCATTCTGCTGGTGGCTCGTTCTATGCAGTAGAGACAAATTCACTTGTCCCCCACCTCAGTGAGCACATTCAGGCAACCTGGATTG